GATTCCATATATATCCCTGCAGTTGCCCAGGCACAAACATCCTTCATCTTCCTTTTCCCCTTCCTGTGGAGTGGTGAATTTAAAGTGGATGCAGCGTGCGCAATCCCCATTAAATCCAATTCAAATTTGAATTTAAATTGTACCTGCGACTATTTCAGATATTTAATTTTTCCGCCTCCTTGCCTAAGCCTTTAGTGGCATTCACAGACACAGAGGCCGAGATAATTAAAGGGGTTTTAAACTTCACGTTTGAAGCACTACTAGGAAGGCCAGGTCCTACTCGCTACCTCCCTCCCATTCCCCATTAAATACCTTTGGAGGCCTGAGGATGCCCCTGGATAGAAAATCCTTCTTCCATCCACAGGAGGCTCCCGGAAGAGCTGTTTCCTGCCTTGAAACACCAAGTACCAGCCATAACCAAAGCACAACCTCAGTAAATGCTAAGGATAGACCCGGGCAAGACGAGCTCCACCTGAACCACCTGCAGTAGGTAACTACCTGAGCTGTTATTAAACACCCCCAGGAACAGCATCTCCAAGCCCTCTCAAGCCTTGGAGCTCATCCCAGGTGCAGCATCGTGTTTTTTAGAAAGCTTTTCCCACATCTAATGAATCATGATCCTGCTGCAACCCAAGCCCATGACGGCTAATCTTCTTCCCAGCAGGTACAACAGCAGGTTGCTCTTTGCAGCAGCTTCTTCAGTGTGGCAGACGCTGATACCCAAGGCACAAATTCCACTATCTCTTGGATCATTTCTCTAAAACAGCTGCAGACTTCATCCCGTTTCCAAGTGGACTAATGTCAACACGTCTTAGGCTAATGAGCATGCCTACCTGTCTGCTATCTATAATGCCAGGGACTGAATCAGGCTGGAAACTCAACCCCCTTAACACCATTGCACCAATTCTTTCAAGGCAGGCGATGGCTGTAATGAAAGCACGTAATTCCCCAAAGCTTTCTATGAGATACTTTTCAACAGCTCTAAATTATCTTCCTTTAAAAGCAATATAAACATTTTCTCACCTGCCTTACACATACACAGAGACCGACGTTCTCTACGTGTTGTTTCAACTTTTTTTCAAAAAAGAAATTTTAGGAGATAACACTGCTGCTAGCATCATCCAGATGACAAAAATTCCTAACTTTCATCACTGGATTCTGCAGACATCAAGATTTCTGTCACTGCTGACTTCGGGAGGACTACAGCCAGATCAGTAACAGCCTTGCTTGAAAACCCTACTTTACCAAATAAATATTTAACATTTTGGATTCTGTAGCAAGTCTTTAGAGACAAGTGTCTGACATTTGAGTAGTCTTGGGTCAATATTAATTGCACGTAACTTCTCCTCTGCAATTATTGGCACGTTTCCACAATTAAATTATAAAAACTAAATGAAATCTCTAAGCTTCACAGCTAAATCTGCATGCTAAGTTAATTAACACTGTAATGGGTACCATACAAAAACCCAAGGCCTGTCTGGTCCAAGACCCATTAAAATCAGTGACAGCTTGATTATAACCCGAAGCAAATTAATATGCATGAAGCCTTGAAAAACCTGGGGCATGATGAACTCTTTCAAGGATGTTAAGAAGCTCTTTTCTGTGGATGCCCATGGACCCACCGTCTTGTGCAAGAATCAACATTGCCAGTGTCTACTGTGATGGCACTTTTGTAGCTCATGAACTGGACTGCTGGGTGAACAGGTTTCTACTGGGTAGATCTTCAATATATGTGACCAGAATTGTCATTTCCAGCTCCTCTTTATGAGGCATTATCCTAAGAAACTCATTAGCCAGTGTCTGAAGAACGAAGAGCCACCTCCAAATGCTAAGCTAATCTGCAGAAGTTAATGTGCTAAAGTACATCATCCTCACCCACAGAACACATTAGCATCATTTCTTATTACCAAACACACTTTGGTAATAAGAAATGGCCTTTCAACCACTGGTTTTATGTACGTCTCAGAGCAAATCCCAACAGCAGCAACAAAACCAGGATTAATACCGAACAGGAAGAGTAGAGGGGAAGTAAATATCAGAGAAAAAAAGCCCAAAACTTTGCCTAAGTATTTAAATAAGCAAGATGAAGTGTTTTTCAGCATACATGATATTTAGATCTCTGCCAAGTGTAGCATTCACTTGTTTAACTAGGTTTTTCAAGGCTGGGCATTTCTAAGCTGCGTATTGAGATGCTGTCATGACCASTATCTACCCAAATTTTTCAGATAAAGAGCCCCAAAGATGCGCTATGAGAAGCCTGCACTCACAGAGGAGAAAAACTTGCCAGGCAGCAAGCTAATTATGGAGACACCTGAACAGCAAAGGATTGGATTCACAGGCGCGGTGCTAAAATGATGAAGGGGACACCTGGAATGCGAACGAGCTTGTAGGACTTGAACTTGCAAGATACAGGTTCGTTAGTCACAAAACCTATTAAAGCCAGCTTCAAAATATGGTGAGAGAAGTGTGGCAGAATTTAATGTGGTTAATTTGAGTTAATTACAGCTAATGATGTATATGCCATATTGCAGAGAGTTTTCCTGAAATAAGATTCTTTAATAAGCACAGGCACTACGATGAAGATGTAAAGAAAAAGAAAAAATCGGGCTGTGCCCAAAAAGCAAAACCCGACAGTGTGGACTGCAGACAAGCAGTAACTGCTCGTGCCAGCCCACTGAGAGCCCTTGCTGGGGTCTGTGGGCATCCCTGCTTTCCACAGCACACATTCATTGGAAAGCGTTCGTCATCCTTCGCCTTGGCCCCTTCCACCGGGATCCATCCAGCTGTGCCCCACGCAAGCACCAGCCCCCTTAGAGGGTGGGATTTATGGGTCTATGGTCTCCTCAAAATAACAGAAAACATGCATGTGTCCAGCCAGCTACAGCTCCTATAGGAAACATGCTTCATGCTGGGTTTCATCTGCATCAAGCCTTATTTTCTTCTTGTGTCAAAGTCCATGCATCTTGTGGCCTTCCCTCATTCTGAGCTCCAAGGTGAATCACAAAAAAAAAAAAACTAAGAAACCAGATGCCACTCTGAGACAATAAAAAAAAAAATCCCAAAAGACCAGAATAAAGAAAACCAAAGGAAAAAACAGATAGATTGACAACTGAGTAAGGAATTTAAGCACTAAATAAGCAGCAGTGAAGGGATCCAGCAAACAGACCTTACATCTGCAGTGGGAGGTCCCTCCACGTTTTTAAAGATTATGACAGGAGAGAAAAGTCTGAAATGATGATAGTGTTGGGGAAACATGAAAAAAAAAATGTAGCCATCAACTGCAGATCAGAAAGGTGAGGCATGCTGAGCAGCCTTTACTGCTTTTTACAGGAAAAGCATCAGCCAGAAGGAAAAAAATAAATTAAAAAGAGCACCTGGAATTCAAATCAGAATATGCAGACTTAGCAGAACATAAGAAAGGAAAAAAAAAAAAAAGTTGCATCAGTACAAGATGGGTGAAGATGTGCAGTTCAGGATAAATCCTTAGCTGCAGTGGACAGCTTACGGAAACACAGGGAAAGAAAGCTGCAGCTAGACGAGCCTCCTGCTAGCAGAAGAAAACTGAAATTGAGGGACTGTTTGCTATACCAGAAAATGAGGAAGAGAATTAGGCAAGAGAGGCATTGCCAGAAAGAAAGGAGCAGAACAAGCCTACCAGGAGGGAGAAAAGAGAAATAAGTCTAAAACATTGTACAAAAGACACAAGAGTGATAAGAGCAGGGACTAGAAATTCGCCTCCAAGCCAGGAAAGGGCAGAGTGACATGACAGAAGAGTCTCTGTTAAAAAGAAATGCAAGACCCATCATCAGAAAAAAATAAAGAATCCAGAATATGGGAGACCTGGCAGTGAGCCAGGAGCAAGGCTTAATGCAGAGCTGAGGATGAAGAGAACAAATGTTGAAGCCAAAGAGCAAGAAAGGGAAAGAGCATCACCCACAAGTATTGTCTAGAGCTGGGGGGCAGAGTAAGAGCTACCCCCGGCCACACAATCATAGGTCTCGGAAAGATGTTATCAGGAATAAAGAGTTTTTTCTGTTATGCAAACAGGAAGATGAGGAAAGAAAATCTTGAGTTGGAATGCAATGAGCAAAATAAGAGAAAATAAACCAGCAAAATCATTTTAAAGCATATTGCATGAATGTCAAGCCAAGGCCTCCAGAAGGGATGGCACTGGAAGGGATGGAAGTGAAATCACAGCGGGCAGAGAAGCCATCACACTGCAAGTGCAACAGAAACTCCCCAAGTTTCGTGGACTCAAACTGAGATCCGTGGATAGCTCCAGCCTGGCGTCATGGAAGGACCAGCAGATGGAAATCTGCAGGCTGGAGTCAATTATCGTAAAGAAAGCAAACACAAATTCGGAGGATGCTGGATAAAAGGCAATTTAAAACATGTATTTTTCCCTTCTGAAATCTGATAAGAAAAAGTTCAGGTACACACGCAGGTCTGTACCAGGTACCAGCATAAGATTAAAACAAAACAAAACAAAAAGAGAAGAGTAATGCTAAAAAACAAATCAAGAAGAGCCAAAACATGCCACAGCTTATGAGAGCTGGAGTGTGTCACTCTCCTTGGTGGTCCTATCACCTCTCCATCACAGTGTCTGCTAAATCATTTGGAATAACGTTTGTGGGAGGCTAATGGTGAAACTGGAGGAGAAAAGGGGGCCCAAGAGCTTGCTAAGAGGGAGCAGCATCAGCAGCTGCTAATGGGAAAGAAGTGCCACACTGAATGCAGTTAATAAAGAGATTTCCTGGAGGGACAGAAAGAAAGAGACAACCCTGAGGAGGTCCAAAATATCAGGAAGGCAAGAGCTGAGTTACCTTCACAACTGGAATAATAGAAACTGGATGAAAAAAGATCAATAAAAGAGTAGGAGATCCTTTCAAGGGGTTGCCATTAACTCAGAACCCAAATGTTGGCAACCCACCACATCACCCTTGATGTGCGCTAGGTACTGATATAGCCCTGCAACTGGAAGAACTGGGCAAGCAGAAATCATGAGTCCTGGCATCACCGAGCAAGGGTTTTCTTCTGCCGAGGAGGAAGCTGCGATACCATCATCCAAGGCCTTGGTAAGACCATGCAAGAGGCATCCTTCTGTTCTGGACATGTGTTCAGAGACGAACTCAGACTGCAGAGAATAGAATATTTTTAGTGTAAAAAGAACTGGAAAGATTTGGTTTATTTAGTCTTAGAAAAAAAAATGAAAGCTCAAATGGGATATGTTTGTTGTCTATAAATACATCAGGAGAGTAAACATTAGAGAAGGAGAGGAGCCATTTAAGTGAAAGGACAACGTTGGCACAAGAACAAATGAATGCAGGCTGGACATAAAACACACTTAGCTTGGAAGCAGTGGGGAGGTTTGCAACCATCAACACAGCTTTCCAATGGGCAGCCAGAGACTTTTAAGAGCAGAGTGAATTGTTCATGAGAGCTATTACAGGGACATGATGTGTGCAGCATCAGCACTCTGGATGGGCTGAGCTGGGAAGTCCCCTGTGCTCTCATGATGCTGTTTACAAGGTGCTAACATTTTTCAACCTTTTTTTTTTTCATTATTTATTTTTAATCTTGAAATATTTCAAGCGGTGCTGCAGACCTTTGTTCCTGACAAAAGGTTATTGCTCTCCAGCCCCTTAAAGGCAGCCTGGAGATATCCTAGGGACTCAAGAAGAGTTCTGCACTGCCCTGTCATCACCTCAGAATAATTGTAACGTGCACCAGGATGCAAAACATAAAGTGGCCTTCTCAAGACAGGAGGTAAAGCAGTGTTGGCAGAGGATTTTCAAAGATCTTTTTGATTTGCAAGGGCTTTCATCAATAATTTATCAGTAAGCCATCCAGGTGCCACCCCTAAGGCAGCTGTGACAATAGCACCAGGTACATTTTGTGCAACTTGATCATAATTAAACACTACTGTGGAATAAACAAAGGAAAGATGTCCTTGTTTAACTAATTTGTCAGGTAATACCAAATAACTGATTTTACAAATGCTTCAGCAAATATCTGACCTTTCCTCAGAATAACCTCTGCTTTATTTTAGAGCCCTGTAAACACAGAATGCTCCTCACATAATTACCCAATCGATTGAAAAGATGCAATCCAACTGCACAGAGAAACCATCCCTTTTTCATGGTAATGCCACAGCATTTAAAATAAAGCAGTAATAAAGGTTGCTCACAGGTCCCCGGGCAGCTCCTCTCAGATGCCTCAGCACGCCTTGAAGCACATGTTTCAGCCAGGAGAAGGGAATGGAGCCAGGAAACAAAACAAGCTTTAAGAAGCCGGTTGAAGTGCTTGTATTAATCAAGCACTAATAAATGCTCCTAACAGGAGAGCTCTTTCCCCACATTTTGTCCTTACCTCAGGGCAAAGGCTGGGGAGACCCAAGCGGAGAGCAGATAAGGGGTGAGTATCAGGCTCCTGTGTAAGTACGACCTGGTATTCAGGTATATATGAGCCAGAATTAAGTGCAAAGCTGGAAACTCCTGCCTGAAGCCAATAGTGTGGTCAGGATCTGCTTCAGTGAAATTCCACTATACGCCGGAGCATCTAGGCATGCGTTCAACATCCAACACATGTCAACCCCTCATGTGAGTCAGTGAGATGTGAACGGGATCCCCAAACACATTTACTAGCCAAAGAGCTGTATCAGTGCTAAAAATCTTACCATCTCCCCTCGGGACCTGTTTGGGATGAGGTAACTCCTCTTTGTTCAGAGGTGACTGTCCACAGAAGAGTGAGCTGAACACAGGTCCTCGCTAGGAAAGTTCCTCAACACACAGCTCATCAAAAAAAGAAGAATTCTCTTCCTCACAAGAGAAATTCAGCAGAAGTCAGAGAATCATAGAACCATCAGGGTTGAAAAAGACCTTCAAGACCATTGAATCCAACTGTAAATCATCTGTCAGGCCCGAGCGGCTCTTGTCTTGGGGACAGCAGGAATGTTAGCCCTTGCTAAGATTTTCCTGAGTTTCTTTTTCCTCCTGCACTAAGCACAACACTAGCACCAAGTCCAGTGTGGAGCAGGACAAGCACACCCGAAGAGGACATGCACAGCACATGCACTGCAACGAGCAGGTGTATAGGCGGCATCCTGTGCTGCATGCAGGAATCAGTGCTCACGACAGAAACAGGAGATCCTGACAACTGTGATGCCCTGTGATTTTGCTTGTGAGTGGTAAGGATTTCTTTGTGTCAATGAATTGTATGCTTTGCTTTGCTTTGCTTTGCTTTGCTTTGCTTTGCTTTGCTTTGCTTTGCACGAAGTTGGGTAGATATCTTGCCTTGAAAAAAAATGTCTGTTAAATTTATTGCAGAGCTTTCATGCATTTGTGCTCCTCTGCAATAGTTGTCAGCTGAGATCTCTCTTCTTATGCCAGGGCTTGCCAACCTGGGCAGATAGCTACCTAGGCTGAGAGTGAAAGGAAGTCAAGGAGAACTTACCTTTGGTAGAAGAGTGAGACAGACTAACAGCATGGAAGCAAGTCATGCTGCACCTGCATCAGCATCAGACAGTGGTGCTGGGTATGCTACTAGCACGAACATGCCTTGTGCGGGTGCACTTGGAACTTGGCTGGAAATGAAGCCCTTCCTATGAGAGAACAACTGGAATCACAGCCAACACAGTAGCAGTGGATGGATGTCATTTACCTCACACTTAACAAGACTTTTGATGCCGACTCCCACAGTGTTCTGGTGCAGGAGTCATGACACTACCACCCAGACAAGTGGATAAGCAGATGTGGGGAGAAACTGACTGGGTGACAGGGCTCCGAGGATGGTGGTCAATGAGTCCACCTAGGCTACCATAGGCCTGCAACAAGCTGCAGGAGCATCCTGGGTGCCACGAGCAAGGGCAAGCAGGGAGGGACCCTCTACTCAGCCTCAGTATACCCTGGCTGGAACCAGACACATGCACAGCCCAGAGCAGGTTGGCTCCAGGAGCTCTTGTCTTGTGGAAGGGACTGCAGGGCCATGCGGGTCACCTGGAGCACTGGCCTGTGGTGTCAACACACATGCATTGCAGCCCTCTTGACCTTCCACTGCCTACCCTTAGCCAGTGAGACCTAGAGAGCTTCTTGAGACCTGCTTAAACCATTCTACTCCATACCTTAATCCAACACTGCTGGTAATGGCTACTAAAATAACCACACAACTCCAGCTTCAAATATAGTCTCCGTTTTCTCTCAGTTAACTCCTTTACTTGGCATTAACTTTCTCTTCCCAAGCTCCATGCTCCCTCCTCTGAGCATCAGTCACCAAAGCAGTATCCCTAGAAATCCCTATTTTCATCAGCAACCACATTGCTGTTCCTGTTTGTGCAGCCTGCAACCTGCATTAGGGTCTTTCCCAAAGTTCCTTCCATAAATCCCCATCTCAGATTATTATTCTGTGGAAGTAGGAAAATACTGGGCCTCAAGCACACAGAAAAATGCTGGTAGATCTTGGAAATGGAAGGGAAGAAGGACCAAAATGAAAAGTGATAGGTTCCATTTACAGAGTTTCACGTTTCTAATTTCTAGGGTGTTCTTTAATCAAGTAATTTATTGTAAAAAGATTTTGCAGTCAACAATCCCCTGTAGAGCCAGGGAGAAAATGCAGAAGCAGGAAACTGAGCAAGTTATGGGAGGTTATGCAGCCGCCAAGTCAATAATCCAAACTATGACACCCATTTATCAAAAAGGGCCTTGAAATAACAGCACTTGCATCTCACCATAAACACAGGAGAGGCAGACAATAAAATAACGCAGAGCTTTGCACTCTGATGGCACAAGTGGAAGGTCTCTATTTTACAGATACATGTTTAGTTTCCCAGCCAGGAGAGCGAATGAGCAACAGCTCCATCCTCCTCTGAGGACACAAGCCCCAGGACACCGTGGTACCTCGAAGTCCCACGCACCTCTCCTCGGGTCTAACAACATAACTCTTCAAAGCAGCTGTGATAAATTCTGATTTATGTCTGCTATTATTAATGTAATAACATTATTACTGTGTTTCCCGACATTCTGTCCGAGGAGAGTTGAGCGTGAACGTGCGATATATACAAATGGTCTTGATTTTTGTGTGTGTGTGTATGTGTGCAATGGAGTTCCCTCTCACCTAATACGTGCTACATCACAGAGTGTTAAACAGCTATAAGAAAAATTCTGCTAACTCAGAGTGACACTGAAACCCAGGAGATTTATGAATAATAAATTGCACATAGGGGAGGGTGTTAACAGAGGAGCTCCTAGCCTTGCATATTGAATATGGTGCTTGGAAGGCAGGGAGATTTTTTGGAGGGGATGAGGCAAGGAAAGCATCAGGAAAGGTCGGGAGCAGCAAGTTGTCCCACAGGAGGAATAAAAAAAGGTGTAGCGGAATTATTAATTCTTAACCTTAACCTTGTGCATCAGTCTGGACTCACAAAACTCAAGGTTTTTAAGGGAGCTAGTGGAGATGGGTCTCCTTTACAAAGAGAGGGCAAGGAATGGTCCTTCCTTGGAGGGTTGCGTCCTAGCTGAGGAGAAGGAGATGCCTGTGCCCATCCATTCCAGAGAAGCCTCTCTGGCATATGGCTGGAGCAGAAAGCTAGAGGGAAACCCCCAAGAATCCCTGTGCATAGCACAGGAACAGACAGACCCCGCTGGAAGTTTTGCTTTTCCTTCCTTCACCCTTGCTGTTTAAAGGCTAATAAATACCTTAATGCATAGGACACAAGGCTCCCTAACCTTTTGCCTATCTCGACGTTGATAATAAACACCTAATCCTCGCCTGAATCCCACTAAGCTCTTGACAGCAGCAATGAAGAGATACAAATCATGCATTTCCTTCCCATGTAAATAAGAGTATTTGTGTTGCGTGTCAGGGAATGAGAAACTTGGCCCATTCGACATGCAATTAGCTCATTAAGTGTTTACTTCTCAGCGCCTGAAGCTCCCCTTTCCCCCTGCCTGCGCTCAGGGTCCCGCAGGGCCTCGGGATTAGCCGCTGGATGGAGGACTTGCATGTGCTGCTGGAGCAACGCTGGGCGCAGCAGAGACCTCGGCAGACGCTGCTGTGCTTCGCATAGCGCCGTGCTCCCCGTGTACATTTATCTCTCCAGAACCGTGAGGACACAGGCAAGCTCCTTTAAAGGCACGTGAAGGGCTAGTTTTCTCCATCAGTCCCAGCTCTTGACAAGCAACATCCACAGGTGGAAAAGCCTTCCCGTGGACACGAACTGGAAGACCCATAGACCTTGTTCCTTGGGGTGTCAAAGGAATGGGAAGAAGCTGCAAGGCTCCCGGGAGCAGGACGGCATCAGCCTCGCTCCGGTGCTGGCTCCCATCCCTCCCAGTTAGGTAGGGGACACCTGGGGACTCGGATGCCTCCAGCCACCACCGGACCCATGGGACTGCTGCTCTTCCTCCATCAAGGGAGTGCTCCATGGGGCCTGAGAAGATGGAGGGGAGCAAAATCCTCCCATTACCACAGCCCCACGGGGCAGGATGGTGCCTAGCAGTGGAGCATCCACTCCTTTCCATTATGGAGCATGGCCTCCTGACAAGGCAGTCCTTCCAGTCAGGAGACCCGTCCAGCTTCCGTTCCATTCAGAACCAGTGGCCATGGGGAGCCTCCAGCACCTCCCGCAGCCACCAGGCGCGAGGTCCCTGTTGGAAAGGGAGGAGAAAACGGCTTGGAAGCGGCTTTCTCTCCCTGCCTCTCTCCGCTGCATGCTAATCAGCAGTGCTTGCTAAAAATACCCGGCCAGGCTGGCGAGCGGCGGCAGAAGGGGAAAATGGGGGAGACGGAGCCTGCGGCTCCACGGGATGCAGAAGGGGCCAGGGAAGAGCCCCCCAATTCCCTTCCCCAAGCAGTTCCCGCCATCACCTGCAGGGCACCGATTTCCCCCCTGCATCAAACCGCACATTTTTACGTTTCCCCCTCATTTCCAAGCCCCCCACCAAGAACCACCCCGCTTCCCCAAGTTCGACACCAGCTGCTTCCCGCGGGGCATCCGGATCGCGGACCGGGCGTCCCTGAGGGAGCAGCCTCCCCCTCTCCGCTCCCCCGCGCATCCCTGAGGGATGAGAAACATCCCACGGGGAATTGTGCGGCGGGGCCCACGCGGGGGGCGGGCGCTGGGGAGCGCGGGGGGGTCTGCGCGCCCCGCGGGGCGGGACGGGGGCGAGCGAGGGGGATGAGGGCAGAGTGAGGGGGGCTGCAGGCAGGAGGTGTGGGGGGGGAGCTGCACCAAAGCGGCCGCCTCACTGCGGCGCCTGCAAAAGCTTAAGGTGGAGGGAAAAAAAAATAAAATATAAATAAATAAATAAAGTGAAATTAACGGTGGGGGGAAGCGCGAACGCGTGAGGTTTAGCGGCGGCCCCCGTTCCCGCACGGCTGCCGCTGCCGGGGGTCGCCGCCGGGGGAGAGGCATGAGCGGCAGAGCGGGCGGCAACCCCCCATCATCATCATCATCCTCATCATCATCGCCACCCCCACGCCGCCCCCTCCCCGAGCCGCGGCTCCCATCCATAATTAATCGCCTCCCGCCGCCGCCGCGATAAGAGAGGGCGGGCGGGGACGGGGAGGCGGGGGGGAAGGCGCGGGGGGAGCGTGTGCGCTCGCCGCGCCCGGCTCACTGCGGCCGGCGGCTGCCTGCCGTGCGGAGCGGAGCCGGAGCCGAGCCGGAGCCGAGCCGGAGCGGAGCCGGAGCGGG